GTCTCTGTGTCTCCTGTCCTGATTCCGTCTCTGTGTCTCCTGTCCTGATTCCGTCTCTGTGTCTCCTGTCCTGATTCTGTCTCTGTTACTTTTGCCCTGATTCTGTCTCCTGCTCTGGCCCTACAGCGCCTCTCTCTGTGTCTGTCTCATTGCAGCACTGCAGGAATCTCCGCTGGCAAACGGCCACTCGCACCCAGGGCGGGACTTCCTGAGGAAGCAGATGAGAGGGGAGCTGTTCTCACCACAGCAGTTAGAGGTACTGGACCGCGTATTTGAGAGACAGCCCTACCCTGACCTCTATCCCACCCCCGAGCCCAGCAAGCCCCACCAGGTAAGGGGATGACCTCCCAGCTGCTGGCTCTGGCCCCCGCACCCTCTTGCGCACTCATTCTGCAGCCTCTCTGCTTTCTAAGCCACTTTTCCACCTCCTCAGGTACTGTACTTTTGGAACTAAGAATTTGGTACTTTTTTTTCCATTGACTTCCAGTTGAGCACCACTATCAGTACCAGTACCAAAAGTACCAAACCAGCTGGGGTAATGGTTCGATACTTTGATACTCTGGAGCAGGACTTGCAAACATGATTATTGTTGATTGGTTATGGAAATAACCTGCATTACAAACGCAAAATACATCAGCCATCCTGAAAAAGCATAGCTGCAAACTCAGAAAATAATGATAAACAAAATAAAAAAAGTCATGATAATGGATGCATAGACAAATGAAGAGACCCAAGTTTTGATTGCAATCTGGTCAGAATATACGATTCAATGAGATGTGGATGCCATGACAAGAAATTAAAATATTTGCTATTATATACTAGGGTTGCACAATATTGGAAAGATGTCAAATATAGTACTATGATTTTGTTGAAATAAAAAATGGTTTAGCAAAAAAGGAGTTCAAAATAAAATTCTCACAAACCTGTTTAGGAATTATTTAAACGGCAGGAATGAAAATGATTATGATTGTCTTGAAGATTGCATACAGAGCTAATGCAAAAGCTAAACTTTTTAAGCATATATAATCTTGAAACGGAACAACCATTAAAATTGCAAAGCTTGCTAAGTTTTGTTTCCTATGACAGAGTAAACATGTTTCAGCGAAATCCCGCCACGCTATAATGTCCGAACAGTATGAAAATGCCTGATCAGCTGACTGTTGCAGTGCCTGCAATGTATGAATTGCATGTGCATAACATGTGATGTCAATATTCAAAATGTATTAATATCACACATCACCCAGCCCTATAATATACTTTAAAAAGCCATCTTTGAGTTAAGTACAAACCACCCCACCTCTGTTGTGATGATGTCACACAGCTGCAGACACCCCACCTCTGTTGTGATGATGTCATACAGCTACAGTCCCAGTTTTTACACCAGTGGAAAACCAACACAGGCACTACTTTAAGTTTGGTACTTTTATGAAGTCCCTGGTGTTGTGGAAAAGCGCTCGTAGGCCTGGATTATCTGCCCCCAGCACCATTTGCTCGCATTTACACACTTCAGTGAACTGTCTCCTGCCTTATCTTAAAATTGATCTTGGAATAGTTCTTAAGAAATTTATCAGGATTTATTTGTTACATTCAGCTGATGTGTATGTGTTACATACAGCAGAGGTGTGTGTGTTACATTCAGCAGAGTTGTGTGTGTGTGTTACCTTCAGCTGAGGTGTGTGTGTGTTACATTCAGGAGAGGTGTGTGTGTGTGTTACATACAGCAGAGGTGTGTGTGTGTGTTACATACAGCAGAGGTGTGTGTGTGTTACCTTCAGCTGA